TTTAGAAGACATTTTTTTTTTTGAGATTGAAATGAACAAATATAGAAGACTTTATGTTGTAGGTGCTATCAACTATGTTTGAACCTCCTTAAATAGAGATTGGAGGATTTTTCAGAATAAGAAAATAAAAATATATAGTGTAATAATTTTTTCGATTTTTATGATATGTCAAATCAATATAATTGTATGACAAATACTGCAAAAGCTTCATAAATAAAAACGTGAAAAATATTCCTCTTTGTAAAACAAAAATTTTTCTTTCACTTTATAAAAGTGTAAGAAAAAGTTCCACTTTACAAAGTGTAAGAAAAATTTACACTTTATAAAGTGTAAGAAATAGTTACATTTTATAAAATGTAGGAAATAGTTCCGTTATATATTAAAATATACACGTTATGAGACTAATGGAAAACGTTTAGAATATTAGATAAAGTGGAATTTTTTCTTCCACTAAGCCTATTTTAGTTACTTACTAAAGTAATGGCTTATTTTGGTCACTTTTATGTTTTTGTGGCTTATTTAGGTTCCCAACTTGAATTGGATAGAGCTTAATAATTAGAATAAAAAGGAAACAGAATTACATAATTTAGCTTTAAAAAAGCATTATAGCTAGGACACAGTAGTCTTCCAAGTATAGTCTTCCGTTGAAGGGGGTTGAGATGAATTCGGTCCCTTTTACCCACTTAACTCTGTGATTCCTAATTGTGGTAAAATGATAAATATTTATCCATTTTTAACATATATAGGTTTTAGAATTCAATCTCGAGTATGAAAGTTGCCTTGAGTAGAGACTGCCTTATGGCCACAATGGGACTTTCAATGTATATATACTTTAATCGAATTCTAACACAAATATCGAATTGAAAGTGAGAACGAAACAGTAAAACAATTCAATATAATTATTAGTCAATGAAATATAGTATATCCTAGTTGCCTAAAAGGGTGAATCGTAATTGTCAGTCACAAGCACTGAGGTGTCTTCATCATTGGATCCTATAGAAAAAGAGTCGGATTTTATGTGTAAAATAGGAATGAAATAGAAGGTCACAATGTATTAAAATATTTTCCAAGAAAATAAGATGTTATGGGACAAACAGAATTTCATAGCTAAACAATAAAAATGTTATGGAAATTAATCGTGTATTTAGCTATATGTTAACAATTGATTATAATAATATTTAATCAACTAGGAGCTTTTTAGCTACAAATTAGTTGGGGATTATCGATAAATTTCGTAGCCGTTGAAGTGTGTGACCATCTCATTTAAAAGTTTAAGTTGTTAGAGAGATCACAATTTTATTATTTAATTGTATCCTCAACACACCCCCTCGGGTGTTGACGTGATTTTTTTCATGGATCAAACAAGTGGAAATTCTTTTTTATATGAATTACGGTGAGATTCGATCTCAAAACCTCTACCTACTCTAATATCAGTGTGTAACCGTATCACACACTTCGCTAATTCCATAACTTTTTAGTAGTGAAAATAAACCTCATTACCCACCTTCGACCTGAGATCGGTTTTTAGTGGAAAATCTCAAAAGTTTAATTCATTGACAACGTAATGTATTGATGATAAGAGTTTGATTTCTGACCTTATAAATAAAAGATTAGAAGGTGACGTTGCACACTAGTTATACAAATCATGTCATTAAAAATATGGAAAACACGACGAGACGACTCTCTAAAAAAGAGTAGATGGGGTAATGTGAAGAAGCCAACCAAGCAGCTTTAAAGTTTTTGATTGCTTCGAAATGCCTTTGAACAATGTTCCTTTTTTTTTCTTTCTTTACTATATATGTATAATAATTATATTTATTGATATTAGATTGCCCATCTCGTACGTTTTCTCTGTTCATTTATTCATTTATAATTATATATCTATCAATATTCTATTGTATGGAGAATCATGTTGTAATGTTTTAATTTTATTTTAATTTTTTGCCTTTTTAACAAGGGCAAACCACATAAATCTCGCTAGTTTAGGTCTTAATTATTAAGATTCTCAATAGTTTCAAATATTACTTTCTGTACCATATTTTATAATTAGGATACATGAGTCTGAATCCATGAGATATATGCAGTATCTGTCGAATTTTAAAATTGAGATACAAAATTTATTTATTTAAATTAATTGGTTGGAACTGATTTCCTTAATTAGAGGAGTAATTGAGAATTTTCAAAATACATAGATAATTAATTTCAGTTTATTATTCTTTGAAATAGTAAATTAAGACCACCATAGTGCCTCAAAAAGTCCCTCCAATGAAGGGCATGCTTTCTGGTAGTGTTCAAGCTTGTTCCATATCTAACTGGATCCATCACATTTTCTGAACAATATCTCATTTTCCCTTCTAATGGAAGATTGAAAAACTCTTCTATGATTTTAAGCATTTCATCCATGATAGAGGTCTTTATACCATGATTAGTCACCTGTAGAATTTGCAACTAATAAATATTTATCTTTTAAAAAGATTTGATTAAATAAATATAAATACGTAACATCCCAACGTAAAGATTTTGCAGTTTGCACTATATCATTTCATATACGTGTTTGGACTTTGGACCAGAGGCGTATTCAGGATTTCGTAAGGATGGGTGCATTATTACGAAAAGATGCATCTAAGATATAAATTTGATCGGTTTAACCTTTACGTTCTTAACACTAACTGTTAAACTTTAAAAAGTATAGGTCCAACATATATAATACTACTAGTTTTAAATTTTAATATACACATTTGATTTAATAATATAAAAATTATACCAAGCTAATTTTATTTAGGAATTTTCAATGTTACACATTTGAAAATTTTGAAAGATAAAAGCAAAAATATAAAAGAAAAATTGATTGAAACGCCAAAAGTGCTACCGATAACCACTTGGAGGGGTGTTAATAACAAAAATAAGATAGATATTAAGATTTAAAATTTCTATATTTGCTTAAAGAGGTGCACCCAATCTTCATCGTATTATTATTATGTTACTTTTAACGTGGGTTCACACCTCTATATTTAAATATTTTTTTTAAAAAATATAACACTACTGTATATAATCTAGAGAGGGGAGCATGGGTTCATGTGAACCCACGGAACCCCTCTAGATACGCCTCTACTTTGGACCCCAGATTCATTTTTTTTTAATCATAGTATTAAAGTCAAGTCCATCCTAATTGCTCTATGTTATATTGTCCATACTTCAGATGTACAGTTCTGAGATACATGGATGTTTATTCTCCCACATTGGTTGTGGATGATTGTTCGGTCTCCCTATATGAGCTTAGACTATCCTCCACTCAAAATTAATCCACAAGTAAATTTAGCTTAAAATTGAAAATATAAAAGAGAGAGAGAGTTGGTAAAGTTAAGTTACCCTAAAGAATCCCCATTGAGCACATGCAGAACTAATGGCATGTATAGTTGATAGTCTTTGCTCATCAGGTCCATTGAGGCCACTCATATCTATATCTGGAATCGAACCATCAATGGCCAATGATGGCCTCTCACCTTCTGGAATTGGCAAAACAAACTGGGAAGGCAACATTTTCATGTCCTTTGAATTGTCAACTAAGTACTTTACACCTTTTTTGTAATCAATTTCAATAGTAATATTATTATTAGTCAAAATGCTAGTGGAGATTGAGGGAGAAGGAGAAGAAGTAATTAGAGCCATTAACTTGGCTGTTGGATGAGATGGGGCTTTATTTTTTTGTGTTTTTGATGAAGTTTTTCTTTGCCACGCGTTGTTGGTCTTCAGAGCAATAGGCCTTGTGGCATTGTACATGCAGATTAAGCCAAAAATTTGGAACCTAGCTAACGGAAGTAACGATGCTCTTTCACTACTTTTTCTTTTTCTCACTCACTATCTATATTGGAATCCGATTATTTTAAATTTGTGCCGCGTAGAGTCCAATTCGAAGGGAAGTTATCCTATCAAGAATATTTTCATACCCAAGGTTCGAACTCGAAACTTCAAATTTAGAGAAAAACAGTTTCATCTACTACAACATTGATACCGTACCGTAGGTAATTGCTAGTGTTGCAATGCCATTCTCCACAAGTAGGTAAGTGAGTTCTCCCTAGAAATTTCGAAAAGATATCACAACATAACATAATCAAAGCCAAGAACAATAAATACGTCTCAAATCAACAGATGCATGGTATGTCAAGTCACAAGTGTATCAATCCTGTGAAAGAAAGAGGTTGATGCACCCAGCTATCCGAAGAAGAGCTTTCTTTGTCCCATCTTTCCTTACTGACTTTCCTAGTTTAGATAGCGTATTGAGAATCATGTCAAAATACACCAAGACCTGGGCCCAGGTTCTCTTTCTTCAAGAAAGAGTAGCTTTAAACAACTCGGTTCCAAACACACCAAACAAGCAAGCGACTCCCCTTCCTTAGCATACCCGCCCATTAAGGCATTCTTCCTTCTTGCATATGTGTTATAGCTCATAGCTCTAATCCCCAATTTCTTGGTGAAAAGAGTTGTCACCTTTAAATCATCGAAAAAAGAAAAGAAGGAACCGCTATAATGACCGCGGGTAAAACTATCGTACATTTTGCAATCCTTCTTTTGAGCCTGACCTTTATCGTTCGTAGAAATTATTTTCGTTTGAATAAAATATGGCTTTCGACTTGTCTTTATCATATATATATATTCGATTTTCCATCTCGTTATTTGGGTGTTGTTTACGCACCAATTTTCTATCTCACTTTGGTGTTTATTTACTGGAAGTTTTTTCTTTTTTTGTTGTTTCAAGTGTTGGTTCGGGAGGAGGGCAGTCACTTTCTCTTCCGGGCCCTTCCAACCCATCAAACTCCTCCTCGGAAGATTCGTTCGCACTCCAGATCATGTAAACACCTGATGAAGATAAAAATTTATCGAAGATGAGGGTGCCGTCATGTGATGATCAACATAGTCACTGGGTCCATAGATAAGATCTTGTCAGGATAATATATATACTCTATGGTTTACTTGTCTTTGGAATTTCCGTCCTCTTTCCAATTTCCATTTTCGTCATCTAATTTCCTACTACATCATCTTCCTTTGGTTATTCAAGTGATACAAAGCATCTTCTACTAGTACAATTATTAGTAGCATAACTTTTGTCCATCAAATTACCTTAGATATATGAAAAGAAATTAGGAATAATTGGTACAACCCACAACACTACATTATATCTACGTATCTAAGTTTTTATGTTTTCAATCGCATAGTTTACCCAAGTGTTTAAAAACTTAGTATACAACATTATATATACATTCGATATATAACATTATACAAAACTCTGATTTTATTTTTACAACAATGTTGACAAACTCTATATACAATATTATTCAAATTATAAGATGCATGTGTTTATATACCCATAGGTATTATTATACAATATATTTTACACTATTATACAAAAACTGCTTCGTCTTATTCCTTAGATCCAAGCACCAAATCCATTCAAAACACCTAAATTTCACATTCAGGCTCCTCAATGCATACCTAATCTTTTGCAGCATTATTTACTCGAAACGAGCTTATTTGTTAAAATGTGGTTTTCAAACGAGCTGATTATGAAGTTTTGGCGACTTGTTCGTGTTATCATCCTTAAATCAATGGGTTGACCATGCTTTTCAGCTTCAAACAACATTTTCCAACAAATTATGTTTAACAAATTCGAACTCCTCATACCAAAGCGCGCAGCTTGCAACTATATATATTTTTTTCTTCAGATTTGTTCTTCAACTGAAATCACAGAGAAACACATATGGAAAATTCCCGATCAAAGGAATGACCAGATTTCTTTTTTGAATGAATAGGTAATATCATTTTGACGTATACGTCAATACTTATAATTGTATAGACCGCCTAAATAAAAATATACAATAGTAATGCAATAGACTTTATATATATCCTAATAAATGTATATAAACACAGTAACTTTTCTGTATACACACCGAAGTTACTCGAAAATTTCGCAATGAGCCACTAAAATAAATTTAATTACACTCCATAGCTATAGTTTGTTAATTACGATTCGTGGCTACATGTTAGAGAAAGGAGAGAGGCGAGCGAGGCATGTATATCTGTTAGATAATTGTATAAATGTAACTGGTATACATATGTATATGTAAATCCGGTGAGCGTTATTGGGAGAGGGAGGAGAGATGTGAGCGATAGAGGGCAGAGAGTGGAGAGAGACTAATTGTATTTGTATATTTTATTTTTTTGGGTTGCCCACCCGATAGATAATTGTATAAATGTAACTGGTATACATATGTATATGTAAATCCGGTGAGCGTTATTGGGAGAGGGAGGAGAGATGTGAGCGATAGAGGGCAGAGAGTGGAGAGAGACTAATTGTATTTGTATATTTTATTTTTTTGGGTTGCCCACCCGATTTCTGGAGCCGCATTGAAGCCCCGACTACATCTGGATCGCGCTCCGCAGGGCCCATTTGGGGGGTGACACTCCCAACAAGATTTTCCTCAATATCCAGAGCTCGAACCTGAGACCTCTAGTTAAGGGTGAAGCAGTCCCACCATAGCACCACAACCCATATTGGTGTATTTTTATATTTGTCATATAATTGTATATGTATAAAAGATGAGAAAATCAACACATTGTGATGTTAAACAATCAAACTCCTCCATTGATGAACTTTGAGTTCATATGAGAAAGGAGGAAGAAGAAGATTCTGGAAAAGCTACATGTAAATCTGTTTCATTGAAAATGAATTAAGAGAGTAACTATTACATCTGAATCTATATATAGATATACAAATTAAAGACTAACTAACGAAATGAAAACATACTCTGACTTCATGTAACTAATTGTAACAGTACTATAACAAACTTGTAGTAACTAACTCTAACAGTACTATAACAAACTTGTATCTAACTAACTTTGTGAATAGTGAACAGTAATAACTAACTTATATTCTCATCACCCCCCTCAAGTTGGAAGTAAGTAAGTTTACAGACAACGTGTGCAATAGTGTATTATGCTTAACTCCAGTCAAAGCCTTTGTAAAGATGTCTGCTAATTGTGAATCAGTAGAAATGTGATGAAGTGTAATCAGGCCTTGTTGAAGTTTATCCCTAACAAAGTGGCAATCGATTTCTATGTGTTTTGTCCTTTTATGGAAGACTGGATTTTTGACAATGTGTACTGCAGCTTGACTGTCACAAAAGACCTGAATTGGTAAGGAGCAATTCATAGATAACTCATTCAGTAACCTTTCAAACCATACCAGCTCACATACTACTTGTCTCACGGCCCTGTATTCTGCTTCTGCAGAGGATAAAGAAACTGTAGCTTGTTTCTTAGACTTTCAACTGATAAGGCTATCACTCATAAGCACTAGATAACCACTGACTGACTTCCTTGAATCAGGACAGGCAGCCCAGTTTGAGTCACACTAGGCATTTACAGTAAGGTCAGGCTTGTTCGAGATGAAAATTCCCATTGTAGGATCTTGTTTCAAGTATCTCAGAACATGATAACCAGCCTTCAAGTATGGTTCCCTAGGAGTTTGCATGAATTGACTGAGATGTTGCACACTATAAGCTATATCATCCTAGTATTTGTAAGAAAATTGAGTTTCCCTATCAACTTTATGTAATGGGTAGGATCAGATAATAGTTCCCCATTTGTTGCCTTCAATTTCTCAATATAATCAAGTGTCACGACCCGAGAGCACCCTTTAGTCGTAACCGGCGTACTCGACCTCTTGGAGGTCTAATACAAGCCTCTTAGCATTCATTCATCGCATAGATACTAAAAACCATAAGTAATTAAAAACTTTCTTCACACACGAAGATACTTTCATTAAATAACAAGCGGAAGACATTCTAGACTTTATACATGATGTCTCAAAACCATCTAATACTTGAATACAACAATGGGACTAAGCCCATACAAGACTTAAAAAAGATACTAGAAATACATCAAAAGGAAAATGTGGGGTATTGTCCTCGAATCTATGAGGACTCACCAAGTCTTCATCGTCAACACTTAGAAGCCTATCAAGTAACCATGACATATCACCATCTCCCAATCCCTACACTTTAGTCAAAAAGGGAAAGAAAGGGGTTAGCACAATTAAGTACTAAGTATGGAGACCATGCAAAAACATGCTTCAACAGACATTTACAAGAAATATATGCTTTCATATCATTTTGATAAAACCTTCACTTCACAAGTATAAGAGACATAATACAAGTTAACATTCACATATAAGGCCATAGCCAACCATACATATACTCAACATATATCCATATACAACCCATGCTTAACTTTAAAAGAACACATGTCATTTCATTACCGTAGGACCTCTACCTAATATAACCTTAAGACACACTTGAGTGAGACAAGAAGTGACCGCCCATACAACCTCTTCAAGCACACTTAAGTGCTTTTGATTTTATTATGTTTGAGACTATGGGCTTGTATTAATTTTTTTTTCTTTCTCAACGTATGAATTGGGTCATTCTGAGTCCTCGTGGACTCCTTTTCCTTGCATTTCGAAATGGGCCACGGAGGCCCAAGTTCATTCTCCTTCTCGAGTCAACCCTCAATCACCAACATTGGAGCAAACGAACAGGGTCAATTGGAAGCGAAAGAGGATGTATACATGTTTTATACATTATGATACAACAGAAAGAGGGTCCAAAAAAAGTGCCCTAAATTTTCAGCTTTGTATTTTGTTACTTTGGGCCTAAGCCCTTGTCACTTTCATTATTATTTTGCTAGAATTTAGGACAGGTGGAGGAATATTGGGCCTAAGGCCCAAAACAAAATATCTTATATATATTAGACTAGGACAGGTGCAGCTGATTTAAATGGGCCAAAGGCCCAAAACGAGATTAGGTCCAAGTACTGGCCCAGGCGAACAGATCCAGACTTGGGCCCAAATTCTCTTTCCCTATCTATTTAACTGCTATTATGTGCTTATTTGTTAAAAAATAATATTAAGGTCTCGAAACTTCAAATCTCCAAAAGACATCCATTTTGAATTAATCGCTTAACTAAATTATTTCTCTTTCACTCTGCTTAAAAAATAAATAAATAATAAATAAATAAGTTTATGAAATACTTCACTTAGATAATATTTCATTATTTTTTTATTAAAATGGTCTCAACTATAAAGTAGTTCACTTTTACAATTCAAGATGAGTGAAAATATTTTAGCCAAATAATTAATTATCGGATAACCGCATATTAGCGGGCATTTCGGGTGCTTTCAAACCCTTCCCAAAATGCTAATAAGAACCCCGAACCCCTTTTAAGTTTTCATTAGATTTTCTGTTTCAGTCTTTTGAAAACAACAGTTTTAGTGGCGACTCTTAAATCAGTCCAAATAATATTTTTAAATAAAACACTGCTTCAACTACAGAACGGTGGGGGAATTTAAAATTTCAGTGGACAAAAATGGTAGGCGAGATAGCACATACTTACACATATCTTCAAAGCTGAAATACAGGGTTCCTAAGTACTACCAAGCTCCTCAGAAGCCAAATCCAAAATGGGCAGTACACCTACAGGAAGAGACGAATCAACAGAGAAATGAAAAGAAGGTAATAATAAAAAATGGTAAAGGACAAACCTTTGTCAACTGATATTGGCAACAAAGTAGAAGACCAATGATGGAGAATTAATTACCCATAGGAGAAGGAAGCAAAGTTAATTGTTGGTGGGCACAAGGCGGAACATTTTCAGTAGAGGGAGCTGAAGATTCAATTTGGAAATCATACTTCTTAGGGTCTTTTCTATTTTTGTTTATATCTTGGGTGGTCACTTTTGGGCCAACCATGTGTATTGGGTTTTATTTTGAACCTTTTGAGTCCAATGGCGTGAATTAATAATGGACCTCGAGTCCAAATCAGTTAAAAAAAAATAAAAAAAAATTGATTTTTTATTAATTAAATTTACCAATGAACATGAATTAATGATTTAGTTGTTATATGTTGGTCAAATTCACACTTTCAAAATCAATACTAACTCACAAGGGTAAATATAGAAAGAAAATCTTCATTCATGCATTGATTTTCTGAAATGACAAATATTAAGCACCATCTATTTTTAGTAAAGACGGTATATAAATAATATTAGCATACTTATCTTATCATAACTTGAATTCAAGACAAACGACACCATGCAAGCACACATCACACTTTAGTTAACTTGCTTATTAGAAACATGATCATGTACGAGGATTGACGTAACTTCAAATTTAGTTGTTCATTATCTCATCCAAGGCACTTTTCCCTCTCTTAATAGTGCTTTGTTGGGCTCTAATATAGTTCTTGTAAACAATGGGCCGATACTTGCTTTCACTCTTTTCTTTGATAAGTGGGCTTGCAGGCTGAACTATTGCGTCCATTTCTGGGCCATGACCCACTGCTATGGAGATCCGAACCGCCTCCGCATTTACTATTGCTCGATGCTCTACGCTCTTGTACTTTCCATTACTCAATACCTGAGAATATGATTCACTCAGTTAGTCTAAATTTGAGAGGATCAATAACGTATTGATTTATTATATTAATTCAATCTATTTTTACCGACTCAATTCAATTTATAGAAAGTTGGGCTGATTTATGCTAGCTATATGACCTAACTGACCCATAGAAACATTGTCAAAATATATGATATATATACTATGTATAGGCAAAAGAAAGAAGAAAAAAGACCAGTTCTTAATTAAATAAATTATAAGAAAAAAGTAAAGAAATTGGAACTTAGTAAAAGTGGATAGGTTGAGTTACAATAACTCATTTAGCCATTTTGACTCGGCTCATCTAGTTCAACTAACCTTTTGATATTTACCAAAATGACTTTTGAGATGAGTGATGTTGAACTTTTGACCCTACTTGTCAGTCAGACAAGCGGGGTCAAGAGCTCAAAATCATTCATTTCTAAGTTCATTGGGTGTAATTTCTCGTATTTTAAACTGTCCTAGCCAATCCTTTTATTTGAAAGTATCGTAATTATTTGACACTCACGATCAAAGTATCTAAGTTAAATTGAAAGCAAAAATAATGACACTAACCTCCAAAAAATCTCCTAGATTGACAACAAAAGTGCCAGGTATACTGGGGACAGAGTACCATGTTTGATTGCGTTTAATTTGCAAGCCAGGAATGCCATTGTCCATCACAATAGTGAGACCACCATGATCTGAATGTGGAGCAAGTCCCAATGTCTTGTTTGGCTCAGGACATGCTGGATAATAATTTGAAATTATCAATTGAGTTCCTTCATCTCCAAGTGAACTCTCTATGTAATCTGGATCAAGCCCTAATCCTTCTGATATTGCACCAAATATAATTACCGCAAGTTGCCAAACTTCCTTTAAGTACTCTTTTGCAACGTCCCTTTACACATACACATGTACAAATTGATTAGAACCTTTACGATAAGTGGAGTTGCTCAGGTGGTAATTACTAATCTCCACCTTCGACAATGAGGCAAAAGGAATTAAAAAAAGGCCTACCACTATGATCTCTTCGAATGTGAAGTGGGGCATTTTGAAATAATGTATACATAGTAACTATTATGGAATTAATGCATTCACAAGGATATTATCCGATGTTTAGTTTTTCAATATTATCTCTTAGTTTATCAAGAAGTATTTTAAAAGTTTGTAATATATGTATCTAGTAAATTATGATACATATATCTAGTTATTTGTGTAAGATCTTTGATTGATATTTTGAATAGTATAAATAAAGATGTAGTTAATGATTGTAATAATCTCAAGTAGCCTAATACAACTTGAGCATTCTCTGAATAAAAATATTCTCCTATATTTCCTACAAAATTGATATTAAAGCCAGATTTTCGTTGGAATAGGTGAAGTGGGACATTTTGAAATAAAGTATACCTATATATAAAGATTTTAATAGTGAAACATATATAAAATTCAAAAAATTGTAATCAAGGAACACATCCCATCAATTATAGAAGGATGTGACAAAATAAAAGTAACTTTCAACTTGTGTTGGCAAGGAGTACAATGAGTTGAATAAACCTATAAAATTCATTATTTATTTGATATTTTTTGAAAAATAATAATCATATATGTATGTATGTGTAAATATATGTACCATATAAAATCGTTTTGGCTCGTTTTATTTTTGCTTGAACTAGATGATTAAAAATTATCATGTTCTGCTCTCTCAGGAGATAGATCTACAAGAATTCACCTATCTTAATAATAAAATAACCCGACTTGAATAATCGTGTCTAAGAGCTAAATTAGCTAAAGATATGAGTTATAATTATTATGGAGATCGGAGAGCCTACTTGGCCCAATGATCTTTTCTAGTATATTTTTGTTCAAATAACACATATTCCACTAGTTTAGATTGTAATTATATCCTGACACATTAGTTTATCAAATTAACATATGTAGCACTTTTTATTCGCTTGATTCATGTATCTGACGACTTATATACATGTATCTCAGATACATGCGAGTTAAATTATGAATAATTTGTTTTAGATATATTATATTCAAGCGTAATTGGATACGATGATAATTACCTGTAGGTAGCAGGATTATCTGGCCAAAGGTAATAGGTATGTGGAATTAGACCACCATAGTGCCTGAGAAAGTCCCTCCAATGAAGATTATGCTTTCTGGTAGTGGTCAGACTTGTTCCATATCTAACTGGATCCATCACATCATCTGAACCATATCTCATTTTCTCTTCTAATGGAAGATTGAAAAAATCTTCCATAACTTTAAGCATTCCATCCATGAGGGAGACTTTTATACCATGATTAGTTACCTGTGGATATTCTAACTCTTTATTGTCAAAAGTGATTTGAACACAAAATCTTTATTTTTTTAAAAAAATAAAATATTAAAAGGCATACGAAAAGTATATGGTCAAGACAAATTTGATTTGACTCTCACAATTTAAATGGAACACATAAATTAAAACAAAAAAGTAGTAAGTACACATTTATTACTTTCATGCACAATAAATCAAAATATATATTTATGGCCGTAAGAAAGTAACTTGTAAACAAAAGTCTATGGTTCGGATGTGAGGGTTAAAAGTACTTAATTTACTTTGTGATCCGATCCCACTCTCGACCCAAGATCTGATTTTCGAATCGAGATCTGACTGCTGAATCAGATTCGACCTCAACTCTCAACCTAAAACTCGACTCCAACTCCAACACCCAACTCAGAACCCCACCTTGACACTTGACTAGTGATCCAACCCCGACATCCGATTTGGGATCCGACCTTGAATCCTGACCCGAAATCTGATACTCCAAGGAAAAATTACGTGGAGAAGCAAACATATACTAGTTAATTAGTTAATACAATAACACTTTAATTAAATTACCATTCACCATTGACTTAAAATCATAATTACGTGGTTCACGTCCACAATTTGAGTAATTCGGCTCATAATCGTAAAAGTCCAGAATTTGTATAATTCTGTTCCTAATTATATAAATCTAAAATTTCCCTAATTGTATAAATTTAGAATTTTTCTAATTGTATTGTTTACCCTAAGCTTGTATCTTGTTGATACATTTGATTTGTATAAGTTCTGAAAATATTCTATATGCATAAATACAAAATTTGTATATACACACTATTTGTATATTGAAAAGCAAATTTTTTAAATGAAAATACTCATAGCAAACGAAACTATAGTTATAGAGTGTAATTAGACAAACTGTAACTAAAGAGACTTATTAAGTTTAATCTCTTTGCCAATTATCAGATTTCCTCATACTCAAACTGGGATCCGAACCTTATCCAACTAGGTACTCGAAAGTTGGGTCTCAAGTCGAGATCATGAGTCAGATTCCTAATCGAGAATCAGGAATCGGATCCCGAATTAGTAGTGGAAATCGGTGAGTTAGGGTGGAAAGTTGAGGTGTGGTTGAAAAAGAGTTTTGAAAAATGTTTAGCATTTTTCATATATTGGAGAAAAATAAGTTGGTTTGTAAAACATTTTTCAAAATATTTAAGCTAACTAAACATGAAAAAATTGAAAAATATTTTCAGAAATTGTTTTTCTTTATGCCAAACACACAACTCATTAAATAACTTTTGAGCAATAAACAAAGTTGAGTGACCATTAATTAATTTTATCTAATGAGGACAAGTACACTTAACTTAAAACTAAAAATATAATGCAAGAAAGAGTTGGGAAAGTTAAAGTTACCCTAAAGAATCCCCATAGAGCACATGCAGAACTAATGGCATGTATAGTTGATAGTCTTTGTTCAACAGGTCCATTGAGGCCACTCAAATCTATAACTGGAATCGAACCATCAATGGCCAATGATGGCCTTTCACCTTCTGGAATTGGCAAAACAAACTCCAAAGGCAGCATTTTCATGTTCTTTGAATTGTCAACTAGGTACTTTACACCTTTTTTGTAATCAATATTACTATTATTTAGAGCCATTACTGGGCTGTTGGAAGAGATGGGGGCTATTTTTCTGTGTGTTTTTGACCAAGTTGCAATAGGCATTAATGTGGCATTGTACATGCTCATCAGAATACCTTGGTTGCAGTGGATGAGTTGAAGTGTATTTGCCATTGGAGCAGTTTTCAAAGAATAGACCTAGTTTCTGTTTAATACTTGGAGTATTATATTACCACTATTATACACAAGTATCTGTATGGAGGAATGAATGATCAAGGGCAAACATGCTTTTTGCATCTTTCGATATACCCCTTATAATTGATATACCTCTCGTTATAAAAGTGACTCATATATATCTTTACCG